TGAGAAAAAAAAGGGGTGCTTCTCGGGAAGGAGGAGTATTCTGAACCACCTGAATTAGTTATGGCTGCTCAAAACAAGAAAGGTCATAGGTGACCTCAAAATGCAACAATGAACGTCAAATCGGGAAAGGTCCTAAAAAAGTAGGAGTTTGCATGCACACAGTTATTGAACCACAGACCTAGAGCTTTACATATAGAGCTTTACATATAATCCTGCTTTTCCCGTTTCAGGAGCTCTTTTCTCAAGAACATTATGAATGTTCGAAAAATAGTACTTCTGGGGTTTCTGACCCACGTCGCGAAATAGCTAGCTCTAATGGGACCGTGAAAAGGCGTTTTGAATGCTCGCGAACGTTTAAATCCAAGTATCTTATTCGAATCACTTACTCTTTGTCGTTTTTTTGTCTTTTCTTGGTCGTAGCGAGATCCGCTTTTGGAGGAAGGGGGAGTCGTATTTAGCATTAATTTGTCACAACGCGATGGCCTGCCCTAGTTGAAGCTCTCCACCGTAAATCGCATCGATTTAGTTCGATCTGTAACGCAGGAGCAAGGGCAAAACGAAGGCCAGTGAGGAAAAGACGAACTTCACTTCCTCTTCCTAATGGAGTCAAAATCTTTCGGAAGGTCCATATTTGGAAAAATCCTGCTATGGGAGCCACTACACAAGACTATTTTCGCTATGGTCTGTACACCAATTGGCCCATACCAAACGCTAAAACTGTCGCGTTAGCGCGCGTTTAAGCATTTTGTTGCGAAGCGCGTCAAACATCCTTGGCAGCACGGTAGCTACTACTCTCTTCAGCGATGCCTTTCTGCACTGGCCTTGACCTATTGGTATCATTTTCGAGATTCACGTATAGCTGCAAAACGCAATAAGGACAAGTGGCACCGATCCAATGAATCTCGTCTTTCAGCACGCCACTGGATAGCCCTGATCCTGGTCGCCACATACATCATCCTCATAACGAGAGAAGCAACACTCAAGGTATTGGACGCAATCAACAGCACAACTCCCCAGCTATGTTTCAGGTACTGCGAAGTTTCTTGCTACCTATCGGCTCTAAAACGATAACATCCTAGCTAATCTATAAACTGATAATGGGTTTATCTGTTGAAAAGCCATCACTTCACTCAAGCACGTGACTCGCATAAGACCCCATTTACTACTATTTTTTACCTCGATTTCAATAGTCCCTTTAAAAGGACCCCCCCAGACTGGTGGAAGTTGCAAGCTACACAGCGCGTGGAACCGAAATTGAGTAGTATCTGAAGACTTCTTTTCACTACTTTTTTTTGGTGTTCGGCGGTCAAGAAAAACACCTCAGTTTGATAGTCCGTGCGTGTACCCCAGAACATGCAGTAATCGTTTTCAAGAAACGCTGTACGTCCTGAACGACCTTCCTGTTCAGTGTTCTCCCGGAAAGAGTAGTTGCGCGTTCGAGAGGATATGTTCTGCAGTGTTTCATTTACTCAGTAGCTTCCAAGCTATGTATTTTTTGGTACTGCATCTACAAAAAATGTACTTGAGTTTATTCATGTGATTGCCAGGTAGCTCATAAGATCTGAAGAAGTTCAGATTGGTATAGCCTTTTTTGCTATAGCAAGTATGATCAAAATCATTGCCTGTCGTAGTTCCAGAATGCCACTCGTCTACCGGATTCACCGCCAACAACCGACATATCCGGTGCCGGTTCATCGGGCTCGCCTGAAAGCAATTCTGACGCGCCGTATTCACCAGAGAACTATCCAAATTATGTCGGTGAGTAAATCGAATTCTCGTTGTCCTTCCTCGTCTTCGGCCTCCTCAATTTACTCCATTCATTACACTGGTGTTTGGCCTTTCCATTCAGGACCTCAGTTCTTCTTTATGTTCCTCTTCGAACACTCGTTATCCAGAGCGTTCTTGTAATCGTTTTCTTCTTCCTTAGTCTCTCTTCGCTCCCCCTCTTTTATCCTCAGTCATACTCGTTTTCTTTCACCTCCTTTTTCTCTTGCTTATCTTTTGATATGCTTGTTCTTTTTTGGTTTCTTTTGATTCTAATCTTTTTCTGATCATACATCACTTTCTTGCGTCTTCAGCTCCTTCACCCATTCTTCTTGGCTTCATTCTTCAACCGCTGAAGTTCATTTACTTATCGCTTTACGTGGACCATTCCTTCTCTTCAACCTTTCTCGTCTGTTTTTTTTAGTTATGACGATTTGCTTTCAC